ACACACACACACACACACACACACACACACACACACAGAGAAATAGAGTCAGTGGCAGTGAGGGAATCCAGTGCATCCACAACACACTATAAGAACAGTAGGCCTACATATGTTGTATAAATATGCCAACAAACCTACATATTTTCCAGTGGAGTGAACGTTTACAATATTGACCTTAAACTAAATTGCAAAAAGGGCAGTTTGTCTCTTCGTCGCACGAGACTTCACTTCATGTAACGCTAGAGTTTGCGATGGACGGACTTTCGACAGCATAATGTGATTTAAGTTTATTTAAGATAAGAATAAAAAAAAAACGTTATGAAATGCCACTCTCTTCGATAGGTAATTTGCAATATGATTATGGGCAGTGAATGTGGTGTTAAATAAAGAAAAAGCCTGTGGACACGCAAAATAACACAATGGCAATAACCAGCAGTAAAACACACGAATGCGAATAGAAACATGTTAAAGAATAGCGAAGCTTCGTTAGAAATGAGGAAATTGGACCTTCCCCGAGCAGTTTAAAAATACTGGGAATGCAAAATATCAAAGTACACAGCAGCTATACAAACTATGCATTGAATGTATGATATTTTAGACACAAAAAAATAATGAAACTGGGAAGTGGAAATGACAAAAATCCTCCAAATTTCGATTCTTCTGCGTGAAACTGTGAACAGTTTTGCTTTGATATTTTTTTTTCCTCCAATATTTGAAATTCATCTTCAGCTTTTAAAATTGGCAATGACTAAATTCACCTGACCTGCACATATTCAACCCCCCACACCCTGGCCCGAATCTCAGCTAGATGGAGACCCCAAATTAATAACCTGCACACTCGATTCACCATAATGTTTGTCAATGCATTTGAAAACACATGGCGTGTTCTGAAATTAATTGGAAGATCCCCGTCTTGAAAATTCGGTGTCTGAAAATCTTTAAAGAAAAAGAAAAAGAGATCACTAAAGAGGAAAATGTGCATACAGACATTTTTCATTCTGTGCAATCCAATGGGTCCTGTTGAAATGTTATAAAACAGTATGTGTAGTGTGTTGTTGTGGTTTCAAAAAGATGGAATGTATATCTCAAAGTCGTTATCATATATCGTGAAATTAATATTAAAGAATAAAGAAATAAGTGAAATTATATTGTAAAAATGTGTGTGGTTTTATGTAAAACGAAAAACGTTCAGAACATGTATTTTTTTTTTCTCTATAATAAAAGACAGAAAATGGAGAAAATAGTCGCATTCAATTTCTTTTTTTTAAAATCGAAGTTGAAGCTAATAGACACCGTGTAAGGGCTGCAAAGGGGAAAATAATCACGTGGTGTTTGTGTGTGGGGGGGGGGGACTATTCCGTCTACACAAAACCCTCTGACAAATCCTACCAACAAGCCTACATGATGTACACCGGGCCTTGCGTCCCCGAGTGCTCAAGTGAAAGGAATCTCGACTGATGTTCTGCTGCAGGCATGCATCAGGCCTTATGGTCGACCTGTTCATCTGTCCGCTGGGAGGTTTCTGCACAGACATCTGGACAAACCGCTTATTCACTGAGTGGGCTAATCTCCAGCTGTTGAAACATAACGCTACCTGGTGCATACGAATGCGCGGATGGAGCACCTACACTGCTGGCTTACAAGAAGGGGCCAGTTCACATGCAGGGAGAGGAGAACAAAAGTGATCAAATATGGCTAATGGGATCAGCAGATTAACAGCCGAGAAGCGCGAGCAGAAATCCCATTGGTACACCTCATTGAAAGTATTCAATAATGTGGGCATATCAGACTTCAGTATGCAATAAAAGCCTATCTGAAATAATTCAGCCATTTTCCCGAGGACAGGCATCAGTTTTAACAACCAGACAGAATAAGCCAACAATAAATGTCTTAACTTAAAAGCACAAAAGGAAAATAGCTTCACACAAGTAAAGCCGTGAATCTAAATGAAGAATTTCTACGATGACAATGCAATAATACGAATTTCCGTTCATAATCATCTCAGTTTTAATAAACATTGTGCCTCGGGAGCCACCTAGTGCTCCAAAACAGAAACATGACAGCCCCATGACATGACATCGGCCCCATCCATGCACGTGGCGGGCATACTATACAGTCCAGTTTTCATCCATCAGAGAATGTTTCGTTGTTGCTTTCATTGCTTTTCACATTGAACTGGCCTCCAAGGAAACAGTTGTGTCATCCTTGTATTGCTTTATTTGATATTGATTGATAATTGTGCCAATCAACCTTTTCAGTCACCAAGTTTTTCCAACAAGGAAACGTTCCCTTTGACTCATTTGAAAAAAGAACCATGGCTTAAATTCATACTTTACAATTTAAAAAGATCAAGTTCCTGTATTTGTTAGACTCAAACTTGACGTTTTTTTTAAATTCAGTTGCACAAAAAAATAAATTAAAAAAAAAAAATATGATAAAAGCAAAAATAACTTCACATTTAAACTTTTTATTGTAGGAGAAAATAAATGTGGAACATGTTTATTAACAGTGTCAGTGGAATTAATACCTAAAATCTGTAACAATTTCCCAATCCAACTCTAGCGGTATGCTGGCGCCCTCTGCTGGCCACGTGCCACTGGAGGAGCTTAATAAAAGGAGGGGTGATGGAATGATTTACTGTAAGACGTATACAGTTTAATTCATAAGTGACATATTCCACGACAGACGCTCTTTTATTTCAAGTAATAGCATTTTAGAAAAGCTCAATAAAATTCTAATAATTAGACAAAAACGGGGAAATATTTACAGGCAAGAGGATGCCATTTGTGAAACAAGGAAAAGGATAAGATACAAGAAGTTAACCAAGTGGCTCAAGATGCCAGCAGACAAAAACATCCACAAGAAGGGATTTTATAGTCAATATAGTAGTACAAGCAGATTCTAAATAATCAGCTGCCCACTGGTGTCTGTGGTCCGCACCACTGCGCCCTCACACGTACAGACCTCAGGTCTGAGGGGCCAAAGACGCTCACTGGCCGAGCTCTTCCTTGGTCATGGTTGTGAGTTTCTTGGTGGCGCTCTCGACCACCCAGGGGTGGGACAGGACTCCCCGGATGGGCAGTCTGTGCATTGGGTTGTGCTTCAGAAGCCTAGCAACCAGGTCTTTGGCTCCAGCACCGATATTGGCCTGTGCGGGGTAGGTGTACTCCACCTGGATGACAAAGACAATCAGCACAAAAGTTTTACCAGCTAAACTGTAGCGCAAGGCCTACAAACTCAAGTGGAAGGAAAAGGCTTCTGAAACTACAGCACTCTACATTATATGCTAATTTTTGGAGTGTAGCCATTCATGCCTTACCCTCGATATCTTGCGGTAGGTCTCCTCGTGACTTTTTGTTTCAAAGGGGGGTTTCCCCACCAGGAACTCGTAGCAAAGGACACCCAGACTCCACAGATCCACCTTTTCATCATGAGTTTTCCCCTCAATCATCTCCGGAGGCAAGTAGTCCAGCGTGCCACAGAGCGTGGATCTCCTGAACAGAGAGACATTAATAACGTTAGTTTGAAAGCTCCCAGTGATGTAGAGGGGCACAAAGAGAAAGAAGAAACGAGTAATTCCTGACCTGAGCACAGACACTGAAGCAAAACAAGTGAATTGCAAATGCAACTGAAAACATTATTCCCATCCAAACATTACGATCACATAGATTCAATAAAAGCGCTCCATCGAAAAAGGTTGAAAACTAAAAATGCCATTTGAACGGAAACATATATGTGCATACCTGGAGGAGGGAGTGTGAACAGACCAGCCAAAGTCTGCAATCTTTAGCTCCCCGTTGGCCCCCAGCAACAGGTTCTCTGGTTTGATGTCCCTGTGGATCACCTTCTTGGAGTGGCAATAGTCGAGTGCATCTGCGAGCTCCATGATGTACTAGTACAGCACATAAAGCACGGTGAATACAACATGCATCACATTCTGTATTTGACGGCTTCCTCTTCATTTCTAAATGATAAACTTCAGGAAAGACACCGAACAGGCTTTTGGGATTAGTGTAAATGTATAGTATTATACATGTGTTTAAGTTGGTGATGTCAATTGCTCATTTGACAGCAAAGTACACGTTTTACAAAAAGGTCTTAAATTGGCACTTACTGTGGCACTTCTGGCCTCCGGAAAACATCCACAGCGCTGCAGCTCACTGTACAGTTCACCCTTGGGTGCAAACTCCAGGATGAGATAGACACGCGATGAGTCATGGAAGTAACCGTAGAGGCGCAGGATATTGGGGTGCCTGCAGGACAATCGATCAATATTTCAAAAGAGCAAAGTAAATGGACAGAACTAAAAGGAAGCCAACGCATCAGCAGCTGCTTTACAGAGGAGGTCCACAGTCTGACTTCACTGCAAGGATTTCTTCGGTTACCAAAATGCAATCACTCAAATCTTTCAAACAAAGACCGGTATGGGCCAATTCAGGTTTTAACTTAAAATAAAATCATGAACTGAGCAGGAATCTACTTGTCCATGAATTACCCAGTTGCAAAATATTTTAACCACAGTAACCACATTATAGTGGGTTCATCTGACCATGCTGCAACAGCACACAACGACTAAAGAGCACAAGAGAGTTCACACTTGAAAGTGCCAGGCTTTATAAAACAACAAGGCTGGCATACGAGTGTATTAAACAGGGGGACCCAGTACTGCCATCACTGTTCATAGAGGCTCGAGTCTACAAGTATATTACATACACACCAAAATATTTACATATACCTATATATAGCATAAGTATTATGAAAATGCAGTCCAGTTTGGCCGGTGTGCTCTGTTCAGTCTTTCAAAAAGAGTTAGGAGTTCTTTCAATAGGAAAATGTTATGGTGTGACAACGACTTTGGCCTACAAAGATCGAGGTTTGTCTCGCCAGTGATTCAGAAATCAGGTCGGTAAAAACACAAGTCCCGAAGCTCTTTGAGTTTTAATAAGGATGACCACTGTGTCACATTGCCTTTGGCCAGCCCCATTAGTCAGGATTCATATTTGGCACTACATCGCATAATTTGAACGACGCATTACCTGAGGTGAGACTGGATCTCCACTTCCCTCCTCAGCTGGTGCTCCACCCCGGCCTTCTCCAGCTGCTTCTTGAAGAGCACCTTCAGGGCCAAGATGAACTTACTTTGTTGCTCTCTGGCCAAGTAGACATTTCCAAATTTACCCTTTCCTAAGGGACGGCCAATGTCGAAATTCTCCAGGCTCCACCGCTTGCTGTGTGAGCGGAAACATGCATAGTTAGTTACAGACAATAACAAATTGTCATCTATATGAAAAGAATAAAGAAGTACAATAAATCACACTTACTTTGATGCAGAGGCATTTGAATCATTCTTGGCAGGTTTGTCTGTCAACAAAAAATATTTCAGCATCTAAATAAAAGCACCCACTCACAATTAATTAGTTGATTTTGTGTTATGCTTACTCTGTGGCTTCTCCAGGTTTGCAGGTTCAGATGGTGGTTTGGCCGGCTCTAGGTTCACCTTGGGCACAATTGTCTTTGGTTGGATTTGCTGAGAAACGCGTTTGGGCTGCGGGACACGGTTTCCATTCTGAGTAGCAGGGTTCACATTCTGATCAGTGGGGCGCGTGGACTTGACAGCAACCGAGACGTGAGATGCCGACTTCTGGTGCGTCATAGGCCGCTGTACGCGCTGAGGTCCATTCGACACACCTAGAACCCGCTGGTGCGGAGCTGGTGTAACTACAGTCATCGGTGACTGCTGAGACACAGGAATCCGCTTTGGCCCATCGCTGACCGACTGCAATCAAAGAAAATCCCCAAACACGGAACAAACTGGCTTTTAAAAGACAAAGAAGCATTTAGGCTCCATCTTTTCTGGATGTGCTCTTTTATCGACTTGCATTTCTTAACCCCAATCCTGTTGTAACACTTTCAGCTTCGGCCTGTGTGTGCGCATGTCTACTCATAGCTGTGTGTCTGGTGTTTATATCTTAAACTTGAATAGTGTGCCGAGACTGTGAAGCCACTTCAAAGCTTAACACATTCACATCAATATACAATGACGATGGTCAGAAAAGTGAGCCCACAACCTGTGACAGTGTTAGTTTTATATTCATTAGTTTTATGGTAATGTTGTGCATTACCTTCACTTCAGGCCTTTGAAGTTTCATGTCCTTTGTCAGCTTGAGCCTGGCAGCAGAGTCCATGTTCTGAGTAAAAGGTACAGTAGAGGTTGTCTTAACACAAAGATGGAGGATAATTTAAATGTAACGTTAGCCATTCTAGGTCAATTTACTTTGGCTACGTTGCCTCAATGTTAACATGAACATTAGCGTCGTTACCACAAACGTTGTGTAACGTATCACAGATGCTCCTTTTACTTATATACCATTCATTAAGGAAAAATGATAATAACTGAAAACAAATTGTAATAAATTTCAAGCCGCCCAGTTTTAGCATTCTCCGTAGCGTGGTGAACGTAACCTTACGTTTCAGACGATAAATTTGAGCTAACGTTAGCTATTTGGTAACCATAGCATCCAAAACATCCAACAAAACTCTACTGGTACGCAGTTGATAACGTTACTTACCTAAATGTCGTATTGCACAATGACCGGCAGCAATTGACAGATAATTAATCAAGAATGTAATCCCAGAGTAACGTTAGCTCTCAAACATGTAGCTTTAACGTTACCGCTAGCTAGCAGGTACGACTAGCTACATCAATATTTAGTGTAACGTTACCGCAGTACGGCTCCTTTTAAAAGACAGTTCGGTGTCGTAAGAAGGTAAACGCTGATGAATACGGATCAAACCAAACTATAAATATATGCGGACTCTACTTCAGATTGTGCTAGCTAACACACTTCCCCCAAACACTGCTCGTCTGACTTCAGTTTCAAACGTCCCTCTGTTCAAAACCTTTAAATGCACCGCGGCCACCGATTGGCTGAGAGAATGCTCTGTGCTCGCTCACCATAGGCTGATTTTAAAGGGTGTAGCGTGACGTCAGAGGGAATCCTCTCAAACAGCAGAGGGCAGCAGTAGGCAAATCAGACCACCGACTCCCTGTATGAACTACACACAAGTGATATACCTACACATTGAATGACACCTACACATTCTGCATATGGTGGAAGACTTTTATTAGATGGCCATTATTTAATTTAGTTCAAATACAATCAGACACTTTCAATAAATCGTACCTTTTTTATGCTTATAAGGCTGCTCAGAGGTGAGAGCCCAAACAATATTTGCAAATTTTGCTCAGTGCAATTTCATTAACTGTCATCGGTGCAGTCCTGCTGCATCAGGGCCACGGCTAGTGGAGCACTATTCACTTTACACTTCCCCTTCCAGTCTGCAACTTCAAAAACAACAGAATTAATTTTGGCCTGACCTTTTCTACCAGGCGACATTACTATATATATATATATGTATACGTATATACATATATATTTACATATATATATACATATACATATTTACATATACATATACATATTTACATATATATATACATATACATATATATATATATATATACATATATATATATATACACATATATACATATATATATATATTTACACATATATATATATATTTACACATATATATATATATTTACACATATATATATATATTTACACATATATATATATATTTACACATA